CAAATCCCGGCGTGCTTCGCCGGGCGGAAGGGCGGCCATTTTGTTTTCGCCTCAAGAGGGCTCGAGATGGCGGCGATGGCGGCGCCGGTATCCGAGAAGCTGAGGCGACTGGCGGCGCGTCCACGCGGGCCGTCCCGCTGAGGGCCATCCGGCCATGGACCTCCGCTTGGCCGTGTACAACGCGGCGCGGGAAGGGAAGCTGAAGCTGCTGCAGAAGCTGCTGGGCGGGCGCGGCCGGGAGGAGCGGCAGCGGCTGGCGGCGGGGCCCGGCGGCGCGGAAGGCCCGCCGTTGTTGATCGCCTCCCGCCACGGGCACCGCGAGGTGGTGGAGTACCTGGTGGACCACTGCGGCGCGCGGGTGGGCGCGGGCGGGTCGGTGCGCTTCGACGGCGAGACCATCGAGGGGGCGCCGCCGCTGTGGGCCGCCGCCGCCGCCGGGCACCTGCCGGTGGTGCGGAGCCTGCTGGAGCGCGGCGCCTGCGTCAACCAGACCACGCTGACCAACTCGACGCCGCTGCGCGCGGCCTGCTTCGACGGGCACCTGGCCGTGGCCCGCTACCTGGTGGGCGAGTGCGGCGCCGACCTGGAGGTGGCCAACCGGCACGGCCACACCTGCCTGATGATCGCCTGCTACAAGGGCCACGCCGACATCGCCCGCTACCTGCTGGAGCGGGGCGCCGACGTCAACCGGCGCAGCCTGAAGGGCAACACGGCCCTGCACGACTGCGCCGAGTCTGGCAGCCTGGAGATCCTGCGCCTGCTGTTGGCCCGCCGGGCGCGGATGGAGCGGGACGGCTACGGCATGACCCCGCTGCTGGCCGCCAGTGTCACTGGTCACGCCAACATCGTCGAGTTCCTCATCCGGGGAGCTCTGGAGGAGACCCAAAGCCGGGACACTGAGGAGGAGGAGGAGGATGAGAAGAATCGGGAAGACGTGGAAGAGGAGGAGGACGACGACGACGACGAGACCGGCGGATCCCACGTCTACTGCACCCGTGAGGCCGCGGTGGAGGCGCTGGAGCTGCTGGGCGCCACCATGGTGGACAAGAAGCGGGACCTGCTAGGCGCCCTGAAGCACTGGCGCCGGGCGATGGAGCTGCGTCTCCAAGGGGGCGAGGGCCTCTCGAAGCTGGAGCCTCGGCAGCGGGTGCTGGCTTACGACTACGCCCAGGAAGTCAGCAGCATGGAGGAGCTGGAATCGCTGATCACGGATCCGGATGAGATGAGGATGCAGGCCTTGCTGGTCCGAGAGCGTATCTTGGGCCCGTCTCACCCAGATACCTCGTATTATATCCGCTACCGGGGGGCCGTCTACGCCGATTCGGGCAACTTTGAGCGGTGCATTAACCTGTGGAAGTATGCCTTGGAAATGCAGCAGGGCAACCTGGAGCCCTTGAGCCCAATGACGGCGAGCAGCTTCCTCTCCTTTGCTGAGCTCTTCTCCTACGTGCTGCAGGACCGTTCGAAGGGCGCCTTAGGGACTCAGCTGGGTTTCTGTGACCTCATGGTGGTTCTGAGCAAAGGAGTCCGCGAGGTTGAGCGGGCCCTCCAGCACCGGAAGGACCCGGTGGCGGACGCTTCCCAGTTCACCAAAGCCCTGGCTATCATCCTCCACTTGGTCTTTTTGCTGGAAAAAGTGGAGTGCGCCCCCGAACAGGAGCACCAGAAGCGTCAGACTATCTACCGCTTGCTGAAGTGTCACCCCCGAGGTAAGAATGGCTTCACCCCGTTGCACATGGCGGTGGACAAGGACACCACCACTGTGGGCCGCTATCCGGTGGGGAAGTTCCCCTCCCTTCACGTGGTGAACCTCCTCCTGGAGTGTGGGGCTGACCCAGACAGCCGGGATTACGACAACAACACCCCGCTGCATGTGGCTGCCCGGAACAATTGCCCCCTCATCATGAGCGCCCTAATGGAAGCCGGAGCTCATATGGATGCGACCAACGCTTTCAAACAGACGGCTTACGAGCTCCTGGACGAGAAGCAGCTCACCAAGGCCATGATGCAGCCTTTTAATTACATCACCTTACAGTGCCTTGCGGCCCGAGCGCTGGATAAACACAAGATCCCTTATAAGGGTTTTATCCCTGAAGATTTAGAAGCCTTCATTGAGCTGCATTAGCCAAGAAGGACTGTACTCCCTACTGGTGTCTCTTCCTAGACCTGCTGCAGCTGGCAGGGAAGAGAACTTGGACTCGTGGTCTTCCTGGGGTCTGGATTTTAAAAAGCTTTGGTTTGCACTTGGCCAGCTTATGTGGTCTCTGTCTTTCTTCTGTCCAGCCCCTGGCATGGAGAAGACGACTTTTGCCCAACGCACAAGTGGCCTCACTATCCGGGATCTTCTTAGGTAGATGATGGGCTCTACTGCAGTGTTTCTCAGCTTCGACCATTTTAAGAGGGGTGGACTTCAACTCCCAGAATTCCCCAGCCAGCACAGCTGTGCTGGCTGGGGAATTCTGGAAGTTGAAGTCCACTTATTTTAAAGTGGCCAAGGTTGAGAAAACTCATTCACGGGTCTGTTCCTAATCTGTCTTTGAAAGTTCCTTCGAATTTTTTCTCCCTGCCCTTCCAAGAGTTGAATTTAACCTCCAATTTACTCCCCTTTTGGGACGCTGCAAAAAAAAGAGAAAAGAAACATTGGCTAGATTCAGCTTGGGCCGACACACAGCTCCAAAGTTCCTCCAATCTTCTCTCAGCCTGCCCCATCTTCTTTGTGTTCATGCGAGAAGTGGGGAAATAGTGGGGCTGGTGGATCTGGGCGTGACCGCCCCCCCCAGTGGCCGGGTGCAAAATAGAGGAATGTTTTGCATGGCCTGCTTTCAGCTTGCACCTCGGTCGAGCTTTTAAGTTTCTCCATTTGCACCCTTCCATCTCGAAGACGTAAGGATGGATTAAGGCAAACCCACCGAGTCTTAACAATGTTCTGTTTTTCAGCTCACCTGTTAACTTAAGGCGGGGGAAGGGAGAAGGGATGGCTTTCATTTTGAACAGCAGGTTCTTGGCTTCTTTGCATGGTTGACCCAAACTGGGTTCAGTTGAGGTTTGATTTCCCCCCCCCCTACATTTCAGTTCTTGCTTCTAACGTCTCTTAACGTAGGCTGAGATTTTGCTGGCCGTTTTCAAAGCTGTGGGTAAATGTATTTTTATTTAGCTGGTGTTTTTTTTCTTGTCAGCAGAGTGAGCCCTGCACTGCGGGCAGACCAGGCTGTAAAAGATTCCCCAAAATTCTGAAATTTAATCAAGCCACCCCCTCCCTTTATTTTTCCTCTCCAGAAAAGAGAAAACGGAGTATTGATTTTTGACCCAATCTGGCAAAAACCGTGCTCGTTTACACTAGAGGTCTCTAAACGTGGCAACTTTGAAGACTTGTGGACTTCTACCCCTGTAATTTCTCAGCCATCATGCTGGCTGAGGAATTCTGGGAGTTGAAGTCCACAAGTCTGCAAAGTTGCCACGTTTGGAAAGCCCTGATTTATTATGTCTTTCTGGCTGGGATGGCCCCAGTTTTTCTGGAAGGAACAGGAGGTGATTGGGCAATATTTCATTGTCCAAACTCACTCTTTGCATCCTGTGGAAAGGTTAAGGAGCAGGTGCTTTTTTAAAATCTCCCAGAAGCCAAAGAAAACAGTGCTGAAAACCTGTTTGGAACCATGGGCCTGTCCAGGTTTGCTTCTCATTAAAAATTGTGCCTAGTAACCCGCCAAATCAAGCAGAGGTGAATTAAATGTGGCTTCCCAGTTACGTCACACGTCCTCGCCTTCCTTAACTCTTCAGGACAGGCGGGTGTCAAAAATGAGAAATGTATTCATCCCTGCAAGAAATCGCAAGGTTGCGACTTGAATTCTTAAAATTACTCTCCCCCAGATGTATCAAGCAATGATTTTTTTTTAATTATGTAGAGGGCAGAAATGGATGTGGAAGGATAGATGGGAATAGCCCTCACACACGGACCCTTACTCAGCTATCCTGTCAGATTGTACTGAGTTGATTTGTTTGGTCGGTCCTTATAAATTCTGTTTTTCTATTCATAGTGGGGGTTGAGGCTGCATTAGACAAGAGAAAAATGGTGGCAAGGAGGGTGAGTGGATGGATGGACTTGGAAAGCTGGATGGATGGACGGAAAGATGGATGGATGGAAAGATGGATGGATGGACGGAAAGATGGATGGATGGAGATGGAAAGCTGGATGGATGGATGGATGGATGGAAAGATGGATGGATGGACGGAAAGATGGATGGATGGATGGAAAGCTGGATGGATGGATGGAAAGCTGGATGGAAGGATGGAAAGATGGATGGACGGAAAGCTGGATGGATGGACGGAAAGCTGGATGGATGGATGGAAAGATGGATGGATGGACGGAAAGATGGATGGACGGAAAGGTGGATGGAAGGATGGATGGATGGAAAGATGGATGGAAAGATGGATGGATGGACTTGGAAAGATGGATGGATGGATGGAAAGATGGATGGATGGACGGAAAGATGGATGGATGGATGGAAAGCTGGATGGATGGACGGAAAGCTGGATGGCTGGCTGGAAAGATGGATGGATGGATGGATGGACTTGGAAAGATGGATGGATGGATGGATGGAAAACTGGATGGATGAATGGAAAGATGGATGGATGGATGGAAGGATGGATGGATGGATGAAAAGCTGGATGGATCGATGGAAAGCTGGATGGGTGGGTGGGTGAACTTGGAAAGCTTGAGAAGGATGGATGGGAAATGACTTGGCGAGCTTGAGAGGGCTTCATATTTGCGTTCAAATCTTGAAGGACCTTTCTTGTTCTTCTCTCCGGGTCTACCTCACCAACAGTGTCACGGCAGAGGATCGGAGCAGTTGTAAGGTGGCCGTGGCTGTTGATGGTTGCGTGACCTCTGGGTCATCTTAGCTCTTCATAGTAACAGGACTACTGAAGGTCAGAGTAGGCTGAAGTAAAGGAGGCCAACAGTGCTGTCATCATCTTTGGTGCTTGCCCGTGTCCAGATAATATTTTTTTTTTTTTTTTCAGATCAAACATATCCATCCCTGGTATCTGGAACTGTTTAGAGCAGGTGTCTTCAAACTTGGCCCTTTTATGACTTGTGCCTGGCTGAGGAATTCTGGGCGTTGAAGTCCACAAGTCCGAAAAGGGCCAAGTTTGAAGACCCCTAGTTTAGAAGAGTGTTCCTCAACCTCAGAAACTTCAGCATGGCTGGGCTGAGGAATTCTGGGAGTCAAAGTCCACCCTTGTAAAAAGTTCCTGAGGTCTTGAAACACCGCTTCCCCCCAATAGACTCGGTTAAATGGATTTTGGGGAACCATTTCTGCATCTTCACACAGCCCAGGGATAACAAGAAGCAGAGTTCTTAACTTGCCTTGCAGAGTTTTTCTCAGCCTCTGCGGCTTGACGATGTTTGGACTTCAACAGCTGGCTAGGGAAATCTGGGCATTGAAGTCCAAACATCTTAACGTTGCAGAGGTCGAGAAACTCTGCTGTAGAGCTAAAACAGAACTACAGAAACCTCAGGGTTCCCCCCCCCTCCTTTTTAATGGATTTTGCAGAAGCCTGTCTGCCTCTTTGCATTCTTGCAGTGTTCAAAGCAAACAAACAAGGTTAGCCGGTAAAGGAAGTTTCAGGTTACCTTTATCTTTTTTTTCTTTTTTGGTTTTGTTGCAAAGAATGGAGTTGATTTGGCAATCATGGCAGAACGAAACGCACAAGCAGCGTATACTATATACTCTTGAGAGCCAGCCTTCCTCACTTGAAGTAAATACAAGTTAAACTGACGTTGAAAATCAAGGAGAAAAAAAAAAGTTGTGCTGCTAAAACATACAAAACCGCGTCTTTGACTCTTCTTGTTTATATGGGGGTACGGCTGGAGGTGTTTTAATATATAGGTAATCCTCAACTTACGACTGTTTTGAGTCTGGAATTCTAGTCATAAGTCACGCTGGTCGTTTAAATGAGGTTGCCGCGTGACCTCGCCCTGATAATGCTTTTGTGACGGTTGTTAACGGAAAGCGGTTGGAGGCCATAAAGCAAGCAGGTTGGCTGTTAAGCAAATCCATTGATTTTTTTATTTTCTTTATTTTTTGCTGGGGACAATGGTTTTCAGCCCCAAGCTTTGCAAATTGTGGTTGCGTGACGGCGGGACATTGTAAACGGCTGTAAATGCCAGTCAGCTCCCAAGCGCCCAAGAGGTGACCATGTAACTATGGGAGGGGCTATCGTAACTTCAAATCTGGGTTATAAGTAACTGTGGGGGAGTCCGTTGTAAGTGGTCGTAAGTCGAGGACTACCTGTATGTGGTGGCTTTTTTTGAGTTTGAGATAGGCACCTACGTTTCTTCAGAGTTTGGTGTTTATGAAAAAGCGAGTTACAAATGGAAGACTCCTGTAGCATGATTGACTTCTGTGGGCTACCTCAGGGGTAGGCAACCTTGGCTCTTTTATGACTCGTGGACTTCAACTCCCAGAATTCCTGAGCCAGCATAGCTCAGCTTGGAAACCTTTCCCTTTCCCCTCAGCATGGCTGGCTCAGGAATTCTGGGAGTTGAAGTCCACAAGTCATAAAAGGGCCTAGTTTGAAGACCTCTGCTCTAAAGGTACAAACCAGTATTCCACCAGATGTAGAATTGTCTATAGCAGGGGTAGGCAACCTTGGCTCTTTTATGACTGGTGGACTTCAGCTCCCAGAATTCCTGAGCCAGCCACGCTGAGGGGAAAGGGAGAGGTTTCCAAGCTGAGCCATGCTGGCTCAGGAATTCTGGGAGTTGAAGTCCACCAGTCGTAAAAGAGCCAAGGTTGCCTACCCCATCCCATGCTGCCCCATGTAATCCACTCATGATATTCCCTAGTTTGGTAATGAAATGTCTCCCAGAAAACAGCCCAGTTCAAAGCCCCAAGGACCCCTCATTCAACTTTTGAGCTACCAGTACCCCACATTCCCTTCTAGCACTGATAATGTTACCTGGCTGGGCCGTGAAACGTATGCAAGAAAACCGCCCATCAATCAGAACAGAGCTGGAAGGGACTTTGGAGGTCTTCTAGTCCAACCCCCTGCTCAAGCAGGAGACCCTAAACCTTTTCAGACAAGGGGCTGTCCAGTCTCTCCTTAAAAACCTCCAGTGTTGGAGCATTCACAACTACTGGTGGCAAGCTGTTAATTGTTCTGACTGTCAGGAAATGCCTCCTTAGTTCCAGGTTGCTTTTCTCCTTGATTCGTTTCCATCCGTTGCTTCTTGTCCTGCCTTCAGCTGCTTTGGAGAATAGCTTGACTCCCTCTTCTTTGGGGCAGCCCCTGAGATACTGGAACACTGCTATATCACCCCTAGTCCTTCTTTTCTCTGGACTAGCCAAGCCCAAATCCTGCAACTGTTGTTCGTATCCTTTTGCCTCCAGGTCTTTAATCATCACAGTTGCTCTTCTTTGCACTTTTTCCAAAGTCTCAACATCCTTTTTTGTTAAACCAAACTCGGGGAACACTGAGGAATCCACAGTGAAAGTCTCCCCATGTGAGAATCTGTGGATTTCGGCCGAGCATCTGATAGCTCACAGTAGGCCATGCCTAAAACAGTGATATTCTGTTTAACAACCAGGCAAAGTAAATTCATCCTTAAACTTAACTATACAAGAAAAGGATGAAGAGTCCCTCATTTTATTAATCCCCATGCACTCATAGATTATTTACCACTCGTAAAGCACATCCAAAGTTTTAAATCGGGGGGGGGGGTGTCCAACCGCAACCGCTTTAAAACCTGTGGACTTCAACTCCCAGAATTCCTCAGCTAGCATAACTGGCTGGGGAATTCTGGAAAGTCCACAAGTCCCAACAACTTGCCATTGCTGGATGCCCCTGCTTTAGATGCCACACTGAATATAACGTATCTAGTAAATGCAATCATGTGCCAGTTTGGGGGGGGGGGGCAGAAAAGGCCTAAGTGGTACAGCCTAAGGGGTGGCATTGAGGAATCCCCTTGGCCCAACTGGAATATAAGTGTGTGTGGGGGGGGGAAAGGATCCTCAATTTTTTCTGAGGAGTTTCTAATGCATTTTTCCAAAGAAGGACACATATTTCCTTGCAGTACCAAAAAAAAGATAAATTAATATGTAATTTTCTCCCTGAGTGGATGTCTTTAAAGACAGACAGGCAGTACATCTCTTCTTTAATGCCTCTTCTCTAGACTGGAAAAAGTACTGGGTCCCTTTCTCCGGAAACTGGATCCTTTCCCTCCTCAGATCTGAGTGGATCTTGATCGCCAGATCTGATGAAATGCAGAAAAAAGGGAGGAATTGAGGCTGGGGGCATTGCAATCTGCAGCTCCTGGCTTCTCCAGAGATGGTTCAAGTGAAAAGCTGCAGCAAGCTGATAAGAGATAATGTTGAGGTGCACACACCCCCATGTTCCTGAACCCCTTTAGTCTTATGACTGTTTCTCCACTTGAACAAGTTTTAAGATGTGTGGACTTCAACTCCCAGAATTCCTTAGCCAGCCGTGCTGGCTGGGGAATTCTGGGAGTTGAAGTCCACACATCTTAGCTATCGTGACTACCATATTAGAGTCCAGCGTTGCCTGTCATCTAAAAGAGCTCTCAACTACTACACTTGGCATTAAGCCATAGCTTAAACCTGGTTCTATAGACTAAGTCACAATTGGTGGAGTGGAGACACCCCCCAAGCCATAAACAAGATCACAGTGACTCTTTGCCTCTTAAACCAAGATCAAGCCAGGTTCCTTGTAATTCCAATCGCAATGCGAGCCGAGTCATCTTCAAAGGCCACATACAGATTGCGTAGGGGTCACGTAACATAAAGCAATTCTACACATTTCAGAATTTTCACCCAAGTAAATCATCGTGCAGTTCCTCTGTCCTTTCAGATTCATCCCTTCTAAAGTTCTTGCTGGGTTCCCTCCCCCCAAAAAGCAAAATGGCTCCCCCCTCCACCTCTTCTACAGAGCAAGAAATGATCCCCAAACCCCTGTCTCCCCAGCTGCAAAATTAAGAAGAATACAGGTAAGTCCTCGACTTAACGACCACAGCTGAGCCAAAATTTCCCTTGCTAAGCAAGAGAGTTCTTAGGTGAACGTTGCCCCGTTTTACGACCTTTCTTGCCACCGTGATTAATTCAATCGCTGTGGTTGTTGAGTTAGTAACACGGTTAAGTGAATCCGGCTTCGCCATTGTCTTTGGTGTATCAGAAGGTCGCCAAAGGAGATCATGTGATCTTGGAAAACTGTTAAAAGTCATAAATGCAAGTCAGTTGCCAAGCGTCTGAATTGTGATCACGTAAGTTCAACGGTTGCAAGTGTGAAAAACGTTCGTCAGTCCCTTTTTTCAGTGTCATTGTAACTTCAGGCAATCATTAAACAAATGGTTGCAAGGACTACCTGTAGTGCATTTTGTCCTTTACAACAGGGGTCCCCAACCCCCAATCTGTGGACCAGTACTGAGCTGCGACATGCCAGCAACCGGTCCACACAAACAAGCAAAGCCCCATCCGCGGGATTCAGGCAGCACACAAAACCACGCACCCTCCAGTCCGCAGAAAAACTTCACGGAACCGGTGGTCCATGGTGCCCAAAAGGTTGGGGACCTCTGCTTTACGAGTCCCTGGGGGGATTGCAAAGCGGAGATGGTCACCCATGAAGTTCAAGGTCTCAGTTCTTGTTGGCCCCTACATCTTCGCGTAACACAGGTCTCTTCGTCAGACTGGTCTCTTCCCTCGACAAAGTCGCCAACGCTTCTAAGAATCTTACAAATGTTCCTGATGTCTTCTTTCATCCCTCTCATTTTCGTTCTCCAGGGTTGTCCTCTCCTTCCTCCACGGGAGGCCCCTCAATGGTCTCATTGGCCGTGCCCACCGCTGCGTTGCTTCTTTCCACCTGCATGCGGTTATAATCGCCGATCTGAATCATTTGGGCATTCTGAATGATAAGTTGGGGACCCGGCATTGCATTTGGAGAACCCATCGAGAACATGAATGGTTGGGAGAAGGAAGCCTGATCGGGCCCTGGTTCCATAAAGGATGTTTGTGGTCTTGAAATGTCCACCACCGGTGGTAGAGCTGGTGATGGTTGAAGGTTGAGGACAGCGAGACGTTGTTGTAGCCTCAGGTTTTCTCGCTCTCGTTCTATCTTCTCCTCTCTTTCCTGGATCTGTCTCATGAAGTCCCAGGTGGCTTTTTTCTCCTGGATCACCCTTGAAGTGAAGGTCTTCTTCACCCTTTTGTCAAACACAGGAGATTTTTCAACCAAGGGCACCAATGATGCGAGCAGGAGGGGCATTTCCCCGGATTTTAGAGTGTGTTCTTTGGGCACCAACGGAATGACCGAGTTCCTCTTGCAGCAGCGGGTGAGGGAGTCCATCAAGGCCGTGTCGCGTTGATAGTCACAGAGGCGGCCCGTGAAGTTCTTGGTCAGGAGCACGAGCGTGAAGGCTGAGTTGTCCAAGGCATTCTGGAAACAGTTGAGTTGGCCACAGCCGGGGATGAGGAAATCTTCGCTGAAGGTGGCCCCGTTGGAGACACCCAAGGCCTCCAAGCGTTCCCTCACCCGGCAAGCCACCAGCTCGTCTTCTGCGGCGTGCAGGACCACGAAGGTGTAGAACTGTCTTTCGTTATCTGGTGGGACCACTGAAGAAGGTTCTGAGCTACGAGAGGCAAGATCTGAAGAAGAAAAAGAAGGAGAAGAAGACGATAGCAGAGGTCCAAAACTCGTGATCGATGCTGAAGCAGAGGTATGGGTTCCAGGTTGTGGAGCACTTCCTGCAGAAGGCGTGGAATCCAACTTCTGCAGAGGTGGGACCTGGAAGCTGAAAGACAAGTCTCCTGATGGCGTTGTTACGGGGGTTACTGTGCAGTGCTTGGAGCCCTGGGCAGATGCCTTGGAAGACAGTGTGATTTTGGAATCAGGCGGTAAACAGGGACCTCTGGAATTTGGTAGAGAAGGTCTTCTTGAATTGGTGGAGCAGCCATTGACCAACGACACAGAGCCGGTGTCTTCTTGGCTGGCTGATGGTAGAGGCAAGGACCTTCCCGTGGTGGAAGGGCTGTCGGAGGTGGTTGAAGTCTCACTGATCTGAAGGTTGCTGATGTAGGAGATGGGGCTACCTGTAGAACGTAATGACTGAGGGTTATCAGGAGGAGAAGAGCTGACGATGGACACCGGACTGCTCCTTCTGGGCAACTCCCACCTACCTGAGGCCAGAGCTCCAGAATTATTCCTGGGCACCGTTAAGAGGAACGGCAGTCCACACTTCTCCATAGCTTCATCCAGGAGACCTTTGAGTTGGGCTCCTTCCATGTGACTGGCTCTAAAGGCTTGGATAGCGGTTCTGTAGGCCTCGTCTCTGGCCAAGGGTTCACAGAGCTTCTCCTCAACCAAGAGCGAATAGATCTCCGCCACGGCCCGGGCCACCTTGGCCTGGTCCTTCAGTTGTTCTGGGGTTGTCGTCTTGGCTCCACCTGTGCCCCAGAGGCCTTGGGAGAGATGGTAAGCCACCACGTCATCTCTGAAGCTGTTGAGATGCACCCTGGCCTCATCTTCTCTCCCCAAGGACCACAGGAGCAGGACGTGCAGGAGATGGCAGCTCTTCCTGTCTTGCTGCAAGCAGCTCAGCTTGTGCCTATATTGAATTAGCCTCTCCGCTGGGATCCCACTTAGGGTCTGGAGAATCCCTTCAAAGCCTAGATCTCCCTGGGGAGTCCCTGTCATCCTGGGCAAAGCTGGGTCCAAATTGGAGGGCATGTTACATCCACAAAGGGGTGGCACAGGCTGAGGACTGGCACGGCTCCCCAGCCTTTATCAGAGGTCGGATACCCGGAAGCCTAAATGTTGCCTAGGGCAAACCTCTGTAATGCTACGGGAGAGATGGGCCTCGTAATTTTTGCCAAACTTGAAGGCTGGAAAAAAAGAGAGAAAGAAGAGAATAAAACTCTGGTTTGGAGAGCCTGAATGAATGAATCAATGAATGAATCAATGAACGAACGCATATGTATGTACTTACGTACATACACACCAACATGTTGAGACTCTAGAAAGAGGGCAGAGAAGAGCAACAAAGATGATCAGGGGGCTGGAGGCTAAAACATATAAGGAACGGTTGCTGGAATTGGGTATGTCTAGTTTAAT